TACTAAATTTTAAAGTATACTAAATTGAATTTTTAGTTCTAATAAAAATACTTTCAAATAGCGACTGTAGCTTTTTTTCCCCAAAAAACTTTGTCTTCAAAATAAGGGAGCGTCTTATATTCCGAAAAATACGGTAAATAGTAATAAAAAAGTGTTCAAATATAGTAGTTTCTTATCAGAATTGGGGATGAGGGAAAATTAAGGTCAGCGCGAACAACTTCAGTCCACAGAGTTGCTTAACAGGTCAACCTCCTGGGCCTCAGGGGTTGAATACATCTCAAGTCACTACAAGAAGGTCATACCACAAAGGGGGGAGGAAGCAAGTAAACCGACATGAATAATCGTCAAGTTTGGTACCACAGGCCCTTTCATTCATACATATAAACATACTCACCAGAGGTCTTTAACTGGATGGAACTAAAACATACATATTTATGATATAAGGAAAACACGTAGGATCAAAAAAATAACCAAAGACAAAAAAAAACAACCACAACAACAACTAGTGTGTGTTTGAAGTTAAACACAAAGCTACACAATGGGCTATCTGTGCTGTGCCCACCAGGGGTATCGAAACCCGGTTTCTATCGTTGTAACTCCGCAGACATACCGCTGTGCCACTGGGGGGAGGGGGGTATTGGAGGAAGCGAAATTGTACAGAAAAAATGACGAGAAACGTTTTTGTATACATATAATTTTTTTTATTAGCAATAACACATCATCACTAATAAGACAAAGTACAAATATGAAACACGTATAACGTTACACAACATCAATCTATTTTCACCAGATTCGTCCACCGTAAGTGTAATTTGGATCAAATCTGTCAACCAATCTCATACAAAGTACACTATGAAACCACACAATAATATATTTAATTTTTGTAGTGAATATTGGAAACATTTTAATACTGTAAATAAACGACCTTATAACACCAAATTGTTGTTTTTATTGAATTAGAAACTTTGTACTGTCAGTTTCGGTTTGATGTTTCAGTGGAACGCTTCTGGAGAAGCTGTAAAGCGAAACGTTAAGTGTCTAATTAAATAAAAAAACAGCAACACAATAATTAACAAAAAAAAAAAACCTTCGCACTGTTAGGTTAAATGTGTTGGTGAGCAATACCTACGAAAAACCAAAAGCATGTTTATATATCAGTAGAATCATCCGTTTTCAGAAACCATATACTTTATCGACCTCCATTATTAAAACCAATGCATTAGCTTTTAAATCCTTGACAAATTTACATTCAGCTGTTCTGATTACTCTAAGGCATGAACTTGATTTGATTCTTTCTTAGCTTTCTGTGATCAAATGTCTAATTTTAATCAGGAAGTTTATTCAGTTTAACTTGTGATGTTGCATATTTTCTTACTAGTCCTTACAGAAGCGTGACTACGTATAGCATAAAAAAAAATGCTTTGTTTTTCGATCTGTTCAATAATGCTTCAAACACGATCAACAGGTAGCCTTGAAACGCAACGAATTCCTTTTCACAAGCGTTGACATGATATTTTCCATACGACTGATCCAATTGGTTGGCAACCGGTTGTTGGCTCGTACGTGGACCAGTAAGCGAATGGATTAGAAAAGCACGTCCGTCACCCATCCACTAGCAAACTCAGAGTTAACGCTACCGCAGGAGAGAAAGGAATTTACTCTGTTCTCCGCTTGCTTTCAGGTGTTCAAGGACTTTTATAAAATCCGTAATAAATAAACGATAGTGCCCTTAGAGTTGATAATAATAAGCGTGTCTGTGTTGTGTAGCGCTAAGAGCAAGTGTAACTGTAAGAGTCTGTATACATGTTTCCTCTTCACTAAAATGACGACCCCGATCTGCCGTTGCCGTGTTCTTTACCTAGGTTCCGCGGTACCCCACATTACCAAGGATGGGTTACAAGGAATACAGGAGCCGCTACGGGATTTGTATCCGGGCCAGGGTCCGCTCACCGCCAAAGGAATTGACTCTTGGTTAAGTGTCTGGAGCAACGGTTTGCTCTTAGAAAACGTTGACGAGTCCAATCGCCCCATTACTAGATTTTTCGCGATCGAATCTCTACATTACTGTGCCGCTGTTCGAAACGTTGTTCTACCCGATAAAGGTGGAGAAAAAGTCGAAAAATTCCTTCCTCTAGATAGCCCCTTTGTTCGACATGCAAACCCTAACCACCCACCGTTGTTCGCATGCATCCTCCGACGCATCACTGGTATAAAGGTTTTGGAGTGCCACGGTTTCATATGCAAGAAAGATGCCGCTGCTAATGCTTTGGTCCGCTGTTGTTTCCATGCTTATGCCGACAATGTACAAGCTCGGCAGCTGGAGGAAAATCCTTACTACCTAGAGACACGCAGAAGCCGCTCTATCTCTGGACTGGACGCAGTCCAGAAGGTGGAAGACTGGCGCCACGACGCGCTTGGTGACGATCACGTATATGGTCCCGAATCTAAACAAGGGACCATCTCGCGAGCTGCTGCAGCCAACGGGGAGAACTACAAAGTGTGGTTGGGAGCAGCACCAACAGAACAGGAAGTGATGTACTTCGACAGCACTGGCAGTATCCGCAGCGCTAGGTCATTAGGGGTCGGGTCCACCAGATCCCTTCAACCCCGAAAGATGCCTTTCCCGCCTCTTCCTCCGCTGCCGCCTCACAATCTAGCTCCGATATCGGGTAAAGAAAGTAAAAGTAAAGCTAAAGCAGAAAAACTACTGAAACTAAAAAAGAAGGGAAAAGGACAGGAGGTAGGAACGGTTATAACAAATGGAATGCCGCATGGACCTCCTCTTATGACCGTTCCATCGAAGACTTTATATGCCGGTTCGGGCTTGTACACAGAGCGGAGGGGAAAAAAGGGGGAACGTATCCCCATCCTGCCGATTGAAGAGCCTGTATACATGCCTTCAGCTAGGCCAATCACTCCTACGGCATCTTACCAGCCAGGGGTGTTCCCGCACGAGAGTTATCTCTTTCAGAACTATGGTACATCTTCAAGACCACCTAAAGGAACACACAGAAAAAAGAGCGAAGAAAAAGGGAAGATTTCTTCAGAGCCCGAATCCCCTTTCAATACCGGAATCTACCGCAAGAAAGGTCACATTAACGAAAGGGCTTTCTCTTTCTCCATCCGGCAAGAACACCGCTCCAGGTCCATTAGCCTAGCCAATCTCCACTTCTTCTCTAGTAGTTCTGGAGATGGCAATGAACCTAACGGGGAGTCTTCGGGATCATTCCAAAACAGAGACAAGAAAGAGTTAGAGCTAGTACAGCTCGTAAAAGATTTGAATCTGAAGGAGAACGGACATGAAAATATGAATGGACAAAGCAATTTCATTCGTAAGAAAACCCCCAACTATCTAAGATGAGGTAAATGAGTTTTAAACTATAGATTTTAATGGTTGTTAAATGTGATCCTTCAGGTAATGAGTTTTAAACTATAGATTTTAATGGTTGTTAAATGTGATCCTTCAGGTAATGAGTTTTAAACTATAGATTTTAATGGTTGTGAAATGTGGTATTTCATTTTTGTAAATGTTTATTGTTTCGTACAAAGATGCACAGTGTGCTTTTTCTACCACGGGAATCGAAACACGAATTTTAGCGTTACAGAACCTTACCGCTGAACTTGTCTTCACATCCAGAGGTATTTGGACTACCTATCAAAACCAATATATCAATGGCCCCCAAGTGGCACAGCGGTATGTCTGCGGACTTCCAGCGCTAGAAACCGGGTTTCAATAACTTTGGTGGGCAGGGCACAGATAGCCCTTTGTGTAGCTTTGTGCTTAATTACAAACCAACAAACACAGACTCTTAATTAAAGCTCACTTTTCAAATTAACATTTAATTAAATCTTCTAGGTTAGTCATCATTGTATAAGAATACAGGCTTTAACTGAATAGGTTGTAACTAAGTCGGTAAAATATTGTTTAATGAAAAGATTGAGAACAATGAGGGTTATTCATCAGTTTACATTCACCTATCGTACTCATGTAACTGTATAAAAATACTGGCGTTTACTGAACAGGTTGTAACTGAGTCGGTCAATATTGTTAAATGAAAAGTACGAGAACAGGGGGGGGGGGTTATTTAAAACTGTATAGCTAGCGTAATATGTTTCTCTTCTCAATAGGCACAAGACTAGGAAATAAAACTAGGGATAATTTCTGATGTAAGCCTTTATTATTCCACATTTACACAGAATATCACAAAGCGAATCTGTATAAATCAAAACCAAGAGACTTTCGTCCAGATGGCCGTCAATAGGCATGAACTGGAACGTCGTTTAACTGACTCAGCAGCAACTGTTTACCAAATATTTCTGAGGATTATAACAGCGTAACAACGTCCCAGTGTTTTGTGTCGGTTTGAATGCTATTGATACAAAATGCTCTAAAGCGTTTAATCCAACAACAACAACAAAAAAAAAAAAAATCAACCATATATGACGTCATAGCTTCTGGGCTGTGTCGTGTCTGATGTTCCAGATTTTGGTTTATTATTTGATATTTGAATTTAAAGGCATAGTGGGGAAACCATATCTCAGTTATTCACTATTTTCGATGACGAATAATGGTTGGAGACGGCTTGAATGGGTAATGAAGAAAAACTTTAATATAAGTTTAACATAACAGCAAATGTACAACGTTTCGACAAGGTTTTGATGACAAAAACCTGATAGAGCTGTAGGAGAAAGTTGTTTTAAACTCCTGACTTCAGACTGTGAAATCAGTTCATTCTAGTCTACAAATGTATATATACAGTGTGTAACAGCTAATAAATACGCGGTGTTCGTGTGATCATTTACACCATTAAGTAAGTGCGTGTAATGGATAACTCCTCGAAGTTGAGCATGTGTGATGGTTAACTCCCTGAAGGTAAGTACCCGTGATGTTTAACTTCATGAAAGAAAGTACATGTCATGGTTAACTCCCTGGAGGTAAGTACACGTGATGTTTAACTTCATGAAAGAAAGTACATGTCATGGTTAACTCCCTGGAGGTAAGTACACGTGATGTTTAACTTCATGAAAGAAAGTACATGTCATGGTTAACTCTCTGAAGTACGTTTGGTTGTGAACTCCTTGAAGGTAAGTATATGTGCTGGTTAACTCCAAGAAAGTCCTTTTTTTTGTAGTTCCTGAAGGCTTAACAAGGGGAACTTCATAAATATAATAAAATATCGTACGTGAAGTTAACTATCTAATAAGACACTGATCAGATTAAAAGTAAGATTTAACAATAACTTTGCATTAGACTAATATTAAGAGCAAATTAGAAACCAACAATGATTGACAGAGATGTATAATACAAAGAAAATCAGTACAGCTATAGCTATACACACCTGCCTTCATTGAGAAAAACAATCAGTCTTGGAAATATAATCTCGAAACGTGTCACAATGCGCATAATTCTGTTAACAAAAGGACGAAACTGTTATTTTAACAATGAAAACTACGTTCCCACTAAACTCGAACACTGGATCTAGTCTGTCAGATTCTGTGCTTACACTAATGTGTACAGTTTTACAATTCTTCTTGTTACCTCAACACTGAAATTAAATAGATGTAAGGCAATACCTTCTAATTTTTGTAAGCAAAAGCGTTTTCATTTTTGATAGTAAGCATGGATGACGGTAACATCACACTCTGTAAGAAAATATATATTTTGGTAAATCCCTGGAAGTATGCACTTGTGGTGGTAAATCCCTGGAAGTCTTTACTTGTGGTGGTAAGTCCCTGGAAGTATGTACTCGTGGTGGTAAATCCCTGGAAGTCTGTACTTGTGGCGCTAAGTCCCTGTAAGTATGTACTCGTGGTGGTAAGTCCCTGTAAGTATGTACTTGTGGCGGTAAGTCCCTGAAGGTCTGTACTTGTGGTGATAAATCCCTGGAAGTCTGTGCTTGTAGTGGTAAATCCCTGGAAGTCTGTACTTGTGGTGGTAAATCCCTGGAAGTCTTTACTTGTGGTGGTAAGTTCCTGTAAGTATGTACTTGTGGCGGTAAATCCCTGGAAGTCTGTACTTGTGGCGGTAAGTCCCTGTAAGTATGTACTTGTGGTGGTAAATCCCTGGAAGTCTGTACTTGTGGCGGTAAGTCCCTGAAGGTCTGTACTTGTAGTCTGTGCTTGTGCTGGTAAATCCCTGGAAGTCTTTACTTGTGGTGGTAAGTCCCTGAAAACCTGTACTTGTTGTGGTAAGCCTCCGGAAGTCTGTAGTAGTGATGGTAAGTCCCTTGAAGTCTGTACTTGTGGTGGTAAGTTCCTGGCAGTATTTACTTGTAGTGGTAAGTCCCTGGAAGTATGTACTTGTGGTGGTAAGTCCCTTGAAGTATGTACTTGTGGTGGTAAGTTCCTGGAAGTATTTACTTATGGTGGTAAGTTCCTGGAAGTATTTACTTGCGGTGGTAAGTCCTTGGAAGTATGTACTTGTGGTGGTAAGTCCCTGGACGTCTGTACTTCTGGTGATAGCTCCCTGGAAGTCTGTAGCAGTGATGGTAAGTTCCTGGAAGTATTTACTTGTGGCGGTAAGTCCCTGGAAGTCTATACTTCTGGTGATAACTCCATGGAAGTCTGTAGTAGTGATGGTAAGTTCCTGGAAGTATTTACTTGTGGCGGGAAGTCCCTTGAAGTCTGTACTTCTGGTGATAACTCCCTGGAAGTCTGTAGTAGTGATGGTAAGTTCCTGAACGTCTGTGCTTGTGTTGGTAAGTCCCTGAAAGTCTGTACTTGTGATGGAAAGTTCCTGAACGTCTGTGCTTGTGTTGGTAAGTCCCTGGTAGTCTGTACTTGTGGTGGTAAATCCCTGGAAGTCCGTACTTCTGGTGATAACTCCCTGGAAGTCTGTACTTACGGTGACAACAGGTTCTAGTTAAGTTGTGGAACTGCCTAATACAAGCTCTAGGGTGCCAGTAATGTGAGATTACTCAAGGCTATACTACTTTTTATAGTTATAACACTCTGTCACATTCTGTACGTAAGTACTTTGTGGTAGTGGGCTTAAACTTTGTGTTACCAGTTTGTCCTGATACAAACAGGACAGAAGTAATGTGGCCTAAACCCATAAAAGTTTGTCCTGATACAAACAGGACAGAAGTAATATGGCCTAAACCCCTAGAATTGTGGGTTAAATTGTCAAATGTTTGCGAACTCTGAGAATATTTTGGGTTTTAATTATAAGTTATTTTACATATACCTTAACGTCGTGCTTATTTTATAAAAAGCTATATTTTGATGTTATGAAAGTCAACATTAATAATCATGTCGTATATCCACAAAAAAGTTGTTATTTTTGTCAGCTAAGCAAAGAGTATTATTTTTTCAGCAAAGTATGAATTCGCTCACACAAAAATACGTTTAGATAAACAGATCTAAATTGAATTCTGTGAAGAAAAGACGAACTTGTATTTTCACCAGTCACAGCGGCATGTCTGCGAATTTACAACGCTAGAAACCGGGTTTCGATACCCGTGTTGGGCAGAACACAGACAGACATTTGTGTAGCTTTGTGCTTAACTACAAACAAACAATTTTCAACAATCACAGTGCCTCCCAGTGGCACAGAGGAATGTCTGCGGGCTTACAACGCTAGAAACCGGGTTTCGATACCCGTTGTGGGCAGAGCACAGACAGACCATTGTGTAGCTTTGTGTTTAACTACAAACAAACAAACTTAGATCGCCAAAAGATTGGTTTATTAAGCACATAGTAAAATTGACGACTGTTTACATAAGATTATAATAAATCAAACATTTACATACGAAGTTGCATATTTTCAAAATTATATTAATGATACTATTTTAGATAAGTCTTTTAAAATAAAAGTCAACTTATGGAAACCTCACAAATACAAGGTGAAAAAAACGGGACTTTGCTCGAAAGGGTAAAGGAAAATAAGACGACCGGTAAGTGTGCCACACCCATAAATTCATACATATATTCTACACGCATACGTTAGTAAATTCACACACATATATTCTACATGCATACGTTAGTAAATTCACACATATATTCTACATGCATACGTTAGTAAATTCACACATACATTCTACATGCATACGTTAGTAAATTCACACATACATTCTACATGCATACGTTAGTAAATTTACACATATATTCTACATGCATACGTTAGTAAATTCACACATACATTCTACATGCATACGTTAGTAAATTTACACATATACATTCTACATGCATACGTTAGTAAACTCACACATATATTCTACATGCATACGTTAGGAAATTCACACATATATTCTACATGCATACGTTAGTAAACTCACACATATATTCTACATGCATACGTTAGTAAATTCACACATATATTCTACATGCATACGTTAGGAAATTCACACATATATTCTACATG